TGGAGCCCCAGTGCTGCTCATCACTGTCTGATACTGCCAATTACCGCCACAGACTGCCACAGGCTGTCCAGGAGCTCACTAATGCCCTGATCCAGGTCTGGGAGGAGATCCACCAGGACACCATCATCTGAAGCATACCCAGACATTGTCAGGAGTGCATACAGGCACATGGGGGCCATACACACTACTCACATTATGAGGTGCAGTTACGAAATTCACACACGTTTGACCAGCCTGCGATTTCAATTTTTACTTTGATTTTCGGTGTGATTGTGAATCCAGCCCTCAATGGGTTGATTATACAATGTACATCAGTAAAGATGAATAGTTTGTTCATCGAGATTCGATGTGTGATTTAAGCGTTCCCTTAATTTTTTTGAGCAGTATACGAAAATCTTTATATTTATCAATTTGTAGTATTTTAAAACACTTTTTCGGCAGTTTGACATTATGACCTCTTGTATACAGAAGTCCTTCAGATTTATTATTTTTAGTTTCTTGATTTGTAATGCAAAGACATTTTGATATAGGATATGTTTTGTCCCTTACCTCCAGAATCAGTGAAAAGACAAATTCTAAATTTGTTTGTCCACTTATAGAATGTCAAGAGGTGTGCAGGGTGTGTTTACACTGAAGGCCTAGCAGTTTGTCAACAATACAGAAAATGCAACAAAATTAAGGATCTTGTCACTAGGAGGCTAATTGTTGTAACTGCACTGTATTGCCTAGCGACATAGATGTCACTCCCTATTTACTACCTAGCACACATGCAAGTATAAGATGCTAACTGCATTGTATGAGTTGGGACACAGACAACAGACAGACAGAACTCTCTGTCCCTTCATTTCATGTCCATGTTTTTAACACACATGTTAAACTATTTTTGCAATTACAGCAGCAAGTTTCGAGTCAGTTGAGGTACCTACAGTATATGAGATTTCCTCATCATTCCCAGCTTCTCTTGGAACTGCCACTTGGATGGTATGTTAATCATTGTGCCGTTTAGAGCACAAGTCATTCGAGCTAGTTTTGTCTTTCTCATGCTGCAGTTCTGCTTTTAAATGATCTGATTCATGAATGGAATGAACTAACTCTTGCACTAACCTCAAGAACATTGTTAAAGACCAATTTGTTGAGAAAAAACAATAATAATGGAAATGACAATAATGAAATGGAGGTACACATTTAATGGTTAAGGACTCAAGATAACACATTAAATCCTAATGAATGGACACAGACAGTGCTCCAGGACTTATTTCTTTGCCTCTCCAGTGACCCTGAAGTAAAAACCTGCAGAGATGTATTCAGCATATACATGAACTCCAGCTGCAGCAGTGGGCCCATTAAGATGGTAAGAAGTGGGTCAAGCTTGGATCTCTCATGTCTTATCAGTTGACTCCCCTTGCCCTCTCCTGATGTTTTTAAGTCATAACAGCCACCGCCAATGTTCATGCCTCATTTCATTTCATTATCGTGTCCCATTCAGCTCATCACCTCAGTTCCCAAGCTATCCTTTTATCTCAGCATGCAAGCAATCGCTCATAGACAGCAAACATAAATGAGGTAGAGAGGGCAACTAATCCAAGGTTTGTGAAACCAAATTTCCATGCTCTAAAAAGAATACTTGAAAGCACTTGCAAACCAGATGTGAAAATTATGCATTAATTTATGGGAGATGCTGCAATTTGAGACCACTAGTCATGGTGTGGCCTATTAGATTGTTTATCAGCAATGCTGAGTGTGATTCACACAGTTCCAGCTGTGATGCATGATAGTGAGAAGCAGAGGCTCTCTGCTGTTTCCACAGGACACTGAAACACAAGCTGTTTCTTTATTCATGATTTAACTTCACAGTGCTGAAGAATTCAGAGACGAACATTCACAATCTAACCTTCACACTCAGCTTCCAAATTTAACTTGAAAGTTTCTCAAGGGACAAAACATTCTCAAGAGATAGAGTCAGTGCGCACAGCTGTGAAGGTCAGTGTTTCTTTAGCCCCTCATATAAACAGAGCTGAAACATTAAAGAAGGTTTTCTGGTTAATCATTCTCAGTTAGTGAGGCAAAGTAATAATAATAAAATAAAAACCAAGTTTATCATGCACTTGGTTCTTTGAGTCACTGTCAGTATGGAGGCCAGTAGCCGTCAAGAGTTTTTTTTTCTTTTTCCCATGGCATCTGTTGAACTCTAGTCAGGAACAACAAGTTGAAATTTATCTAGAGCTAGCAGCGTGTTGATTAAATCATTGAATCATGATTAAGATTCAGTGGTTCAGAGCTCAGTATAATTAGGCTGTAGGATTGTTGGAAGTTATAAATGATTAGACAGAAAGGATAAAGGGATATTGGATGACTGAAACTGCCACAGCTTCAGCTTCAGGCCATTTTGTGGTGCAGCTTTTCAATTGTCAACCTGACACTGGTATGATTTATAAAGTGAGATGAGGCCCTGGAGAAATGCTAAGGCTTATACAATTAGAGCAGAGCAGTCAGACCAAACCTTCTCCCAACACTTTAAGTCCATCAGTCAGAGAGAAATTTGCTCCACTTATTTGGGATAATTACTTATGTGCTGTCATAATTCCATCAGAGCATGCAGCCATGACCTCTCTAAGCACAGTTCAACTAGTTTAATTTAACAGTCAGCCTAACACTCAGGGCAGTAGGTGGCATAATAACTATTCTATACAGGAACTATTCTTCCTGCAATTTGGAAGGTTTTATTTTCAGCAAAACGCTGTTGTTCTGTTTCACGGATATAAATTCAATTAATTAATTTAGATAAATTCATACAGACTCTGTAGCTTGAATACTACAACTTACCATCAACAAAGCAAAGCTTAATAAAAAACTTTACTCACATTAAAACTGAATTAATTTCAACGATTTAATTTTCAACACTGGAGAGATGTACAAAATAATGTAATAAATACAAATGAATGTAATAAATGGATGAATTTAATGATGTGTGCAATTTACAATCAACTGTAACTGACAAATTAAAAATTAAATACAGTTGTGGATGAAGGTAAAGGTGTGCTTCACTGTCACAAGACAAGTTTGTATAGTAAAGAGAGGTAGATGAATCTCCAGTGCAACATAATTTATAGTAACATAAATTTATAGTAACTATAAATTACAGTTGAAATGTAAAAATAATACTTCATAGTGTAATAGAAAAAATATATTTTGCACTTTGTATAACCTGGTTTGAACTTTGTATGACCTGGCTCTGTATATTCTTGAATGTGAATCTGTTCCCACATGTATCCTCCTTATCTGGTATTGTCCGGTACAAACTAAGGAGTAGTTTGTCCTTGAACACACACCTGCTTCTTTTTGGCAGTTAGACAGTCAGGATGGCAACCACAATTGTTCTCACACACACGCATCTTGACCCTGCCTCCTTCTTTCTTTTTTTCTATAAAGTTCATATACACTCTTTGTTCAATATCAGTCTGCAATTGCACTCTGTGTGACTATACACTGATCCTTGGCAAAGCTTTTATTAAAATATATAAAGACAACTTGATCATTTTGTCAAATGTTCATTTTCAGATTTCCATTACAAAGTTGGTGTTAGAAGAAAAACATAAAATAAGACAACATACTGAAATTGGTCATATTATTTTGGACATACTAACATTCATTAGTTTTCTGATGTTCTTAACGGGTGTACTTTGGAGATTAGTTGAAGACAACTGACAAACCTGCAGCCCAAATCCAGGCTCATCAGGTGACTGATCCAGCCAAGGGCACCACCACCATATAACCCTGGCCTTCCCCCATCTCCTGTTCCCCTCATCTATCCTGATACATACGTCAACTTTTGGATAGGGAAACGCCAACAAAAGTGAGACCTGGCAAGGAGGGAAATGTACACCAGGTCCAGAATTTCCCCATGGTGGCGGTAGAAGGTGCTAATGGACATCCGATGCTAGTCCACAGACCATGGACTATGGAAGACATTAAACAGGCAATGACTCACTTCCCATCACCATCAGATGGAGGTAGTGTGAAATTTGCTGCTGAACTGTGTTCTTTAGAGAGTTCCATCCAACAACTTCTGAACTGAGACGACTCCTGATGGGAAAAAATGTGCAATAATTGGGCCAAAGTCTCAGCGCAACATCCAGAGAATGAGGTGAGACTGGATAAGCCCGACTTGGCTCATAATGACAACGGAGTCAACAGAGGACACATCGCAATTCTCTGTGAGTGCATTAAAACAGCATTCCCTATGAGAATGGACCATATACAGTCTATGGAATGGACATGTGCAAAATCTCCTCATGTAAACAAGAAGACAACAATGTAACAAATTTCTGTAGTTTTCACAGCATTATTACTGTATAATGAACAAATGCTCACTGTAGAACCTGTAAACAGCATGTAGTTGTAGATCTGCAAAGCATCATGTCAAAATTCATTAGCGGGTGAATTCTACAGTAAATACATTTTTCCTGTGAATAAAAATACAGTAATTTTGCGCAGGTTTTTTTTTTCAACAGCAGAAACCATAATTTGGACCCAACACCTCTACTAACAATTACACAAATGATGGGACATGCTGGACACCTGCCTTTCTCCACACAATTTTGTTGCAAGACCTTATGGATAGGATTTCCACACTTTTTTCAGCCTTTGACTTCAGCAAGGTAACAACTCATTATTTTGCAACTGTACGTTAATTTAGCACAGTTTTTCTCATGTAAAGTTACCTGTATGTGTAACTTTAAGAGCGCAGTGAGAGAGACAAGTAGAGAGACACCTTCTTTTGCTGGTAAGCTAAAATAGGGTGACCACATTTAGGTGGTAAGATTCCTTTAATGAGTATCACAATTATTTTGTTATTGTATATATTTATGTTTTCAATCAGAAGTCATATATTGTCTTGGGGTGCTCCGTTTATATGGGAAATGGGGGGCGGAACGTTTGTGTTCTCATGAGTTGCTCCGGGGAATGGTTAGGGAGCGCAACTGCTGCTGTTTCCTCAGAGGCAATCTGGAAAGGAAACAAGATGAGCTGTTTCCTCATTCCTCTGCTTTACCTGCTTTATACAGGTCAGTAAACGATTAATGCATCATGAAATGTTACGTTATATAGACAGATATTATTAGCGTGAGTGTTTGTGTAAAGTTTGTAATCTGTTTTAATGAGTTATTTATGTTTAAATGACATTAAAAAATGGAAAAGTTTTCCCGCGCGGACGCCATTTTGTGCCGAGCGCAACTGTAGTTGCACTAGTTAAAGTGGAAATAAGTGACATTAAAACTCCTGTACAGGATGTATTTCCAGCTAGTTATGAGTGTTTTTTTGTGTATTTATTTTTATTGTTTTCATAACAAAGAAAGAAAACAAACAAAAAACAAAAAAAACAAAAAAAATACATATTAACAGTAGTTGGTGGTGCTACACAGAACAGTACAGATTTTTGACAGGTTTTTGACATGCGACAAACAGGACATAGAACATAGGTAATGGCGCAGTGACAGAATAGCACTAGTTCAGTTTTTAGACATTAAATCGAGAAAAGGCTGCCAGATTTTAAAAAAGACTTCCTCTTTAGCAGACATAATGTACCTGATTTTCTCCAAGTGTAATACATTTCCCAACTCTCTCAGCCACATTTCAAATGTAGGAGACCTCTCACATTTCCAAGATTGCAAAATTAATTTTCTGGCTAACAATGTTGAGAGGGAGATAGCCTTAGCTTCACAACCACTTTTCACACTATCTGGGTTGGCCACCCGAAACAACATGGTGAATGGGTCTGGGTGACATGGATGATTAAAGGCCTTAGTGAAAAAGTCAAACAAGGAGCCCCAGAATGATTGTAGCTTATGACATGACAAAAATAAGTGGGATAGTGTTCCTTCTTCACTTCGACACTTAATACATTGGGATGACACATCCGGAAATATTTTTTGCAATCTGGAGGGAGAATAGTGTAGTCTATGTACTACCTTGAATTGTATCAAATTTTGTCTTGCATTGATTGAGCTATCATGGATGTTCTTAATACAATTCTCCCACATCTCATCTGAGATTTCCCTATCCAATTCTCTCCCCCAAGCCTCTTTAAATGGGTCTGACGATGTGTTATTCACATTCTGTATGATACCATAGAATTTAGATATTGCCCCTCTCGTATATGGTTTGATTTGAAAGAAACTATCTAATGCTACGTGCTGTGGTTTACGTTCATATTGTGGAACATGAGTTTTCACAAAATGCCTCAACTGTAGGAATCGGAAAAAGTGGGAAGTTGGTAGCTGAAATGTCCACTGTAACTGCTGAAAGGAGGCCAAATGACCCCCAATATAAACATTTCTCAAAATGATAATACCCTTCTCTCTCCAGTTTGAGAAAACTACATCATCCAGTGTAGGTTTAAAAGCATGGTTACAGCAAATAGGAGAATCCAAATAAACTTTGGGTGTTTTCAGAGTTGTTATTACCTGTTTCCATATCTTTAAAGAATTACAAATTATCAGGTTATCATTATACAAGTGCTTCTTAATCTTTACTGGGCTGTTAATAAGTGCTGGTAGAGAGGTGCGCTGACAGGAGAGGTGTTCAATTTGTAACCATGCAGGCATCTCCTCCAGGTTATTGCCTGGTAAACAAAAACGAAAAAATCTTTAAATGAGCAGCCAAATAATAGGATTTAAATTGAGGCAGGCCAAAACCTCCCTCGGACCGACTTTTAATAAGATGTTTCTTCGAAATCCTAGGTATTTTGCCGGACCAAACAAAGGATGATATAATAGAATCCAGCTTCCTGAAATGATTTTGAGGGATGCATACTGGGATAGATTGAAATATATAAAGAAACCATGGCAAGACCACCATCTTGATGGCGTTAATACGCCCTACCATTGATATAGGTAAAGTGTTCCAGAGCTGTATATTCCTCTCCAACTGATCAATTTTCTCATCCCAGTTATGTCGTAGTAGCTGACTCAACTTCCTTGTGACTATAATACCCAGACTTGTGAACTTTTCTGATACAATTCTAAATGGAGTTGTCTTGAGGAATGTCCTATCTACTGAATTTGACAATGGCATTAGTTCACTTTTACCCCAATTTATCTTGTATCCTGAGAATGAGCCAAATTTATTTATTAACTGCAGCAGTGGAGGTATAGAGGCTTTGGGATCTGAAATAAATAATACAACGTCATCAGCATAGGCCGAGATCTTATGTTGAGTTCCTAGATGTGTTATAGGGTGTATTTCAGGGCTAGAGCGTATATAGGAGGCTAATGGTTCCAGAGACAGAGCAAAGATAAATGGAGACAGAGGATCCCCTTGGCGTGTACCTCGATATAGCCGAAAAGGATCGGATTTATTTAGGTTTGTGATTACAGAGGCTGTGGGTTCCTTGTATAATATCTTGATCCATTTAATGAACGAATTGCCCAATCCAAATCTTACCAACACAGACAGCATATATGGCCATTCTACCTGGTCAAAAGCTTTTTCGGCATCGAGGGATATTATAACCGAATCTTCCATGTCACGAAGAGGACTATATAGTATTTTAAATAGTCTTCTCATGTTAAAGTATATATGTCAATTAGGGATAAACCCTGTCTGATCTGGGTGAATGATTCTGGAAATATGACTGTTGAGACGGTTAGCTAAAATTTTGCTTAATTTGTTTCCAACGGGAGAAGAGAGACAGGTCTATATGAGGAGACATTTGTGGGGTCCTGGTCCTTTTTCAGCAGTAGAGCAATATTGCCCTGATATAGTGCGTTGGTTAAGGAGCCCACTTCCCTAGAGCGATTAAATATACGGAGGATTAAAGGTGCCAGCAAAGAGCTGTAAACCTTATAAAATTCTGCCCCAAACCCATCAGGCCCAGGAGCCTTATTATTTGGGAACTGGGCTATTGCTGCTTTAACTTCATCTAGCGTGATCTCAGCATCTAACTCTGCTGCAGCATCCTGATCAAGTTTTGGTAGATCACACTTCTCCAGGAACTCATTAACCTCATCCTGACTAGTAGTATTGTTTGAGCTATACAGATTACGATAAAAATCTTCGAAGCATTTATTTATTCCCTGCTGATCTGTAACCATCTGTCCTCTTTTGTTCTTTATTCGGAGTATAGCCTGTGATGCCTGAGAATGTCTCAGTTGCCTTGCCAGCAACCTATGTGGCTTATTGCCTAACTCAAATAATCTCTGCCTTGAGCTAACCATTTGAGAGCACACGCGTTTAGAAAGTATGGTATTGTACTCACACTTCAACTTGGTGATCTCACCCAAGGTGTCTGTAGTTGGTGTAGACTGGTAGGACTGTTCTAGCCGGCGTAATTCAGACTCCATGTCTTTCAAAGCTGCATTCTGCTTTTTACTCTTCCACGATGTATATGAAATAATATGTCCTCTCATGACTGCCTTTAAACTATCCCATAAGACCGAGTCATCAACATCACCCTTATCATTTGTTTCAAGAAAGAATCTGATGTGCTCCTCCATACATTTGTGAAAGACTTCATCTTTCAAAAGGACAGCATCAAAGCGCCAATTTTTGCAGCCTCTTATGCTCAAGTTTTTCACTTTTAGAGTTAAGGAAACAGGGCTATGATCTGAAACTAATATGGGGTGATACGTGACATCAATCACTGCTGGAATAAGTTTTGAATCAAGGAAAAAATAATCGATGCGAGAATAGGATTTATGGACTGGAGAGAAGTAAGAGAACTCTCTACTAGTAGGAAACAACAACCTCCAAATATCCACAATATTTAAGTTTTTGAGGACTGTATTTAAACACTGCCCTGATTTTGGTTGTTGCAACGATTTTGAAATTTTTTTATCTAATCTTACATCGAGAACACAATTCATATCGCCCCCAATAATAAAATTTGTTTGGTCTATATTTGGGATAGAGTTGAATACTTCTCTAAAGAACTCTAGGCAGTCAAAATTTGGACCATATATATTCACAAAAGTCACTGGGGTGGAACACAGGCTGCCAGACACTACCAGAAATCGACCAGTGGGGTCTGCTATTGTCTTATTCTGGATAAAAGGTATGTTCCTCCTAAACAAAATCGCCTTAGCCCCAAAATTAGCCTGATACATCTGGCCCAGCCAGTTGGCACGTAGCACCATCTGGACCGAGCGTTTGGCATGAGTCTCCTGTAATAAAACAACATCGGGATTTAATGATTTAAGATGAGTAAGAACCCTAGCCCTCTTCACTGGGTTACCCAGGCCTTTTACGTTCCAGCTTAATATCTTAACTGTGCCATTGTGTAACTTGCTGCTGATATTATGTGCCATTCATACTCTTATCAACATGCTTTTTCTCTGTCAACATCCCAGCATAACATGTGTCCCTTATACCACCAACATAAAACATCAACAATTCGAACACCCTGAACAACTTACCCCCCCACCCCTTTGAACTTGACAGGCTTCCACAACTGAAACCCGTTTCAAATTTCCCTACTGTCCTTTGGTGCGTTGGCATCGCTCCTTTCCCTCCCAGGCTCTGCTTAAGGTTACAAATTTAATTTATCTTTGTTTATAAGCCTGTTTCCGGGTAAATGTAAGTTTAAAAAGGTAACACAAGCACTTTGTTTGGATATACATTTCAGTGCTCTTTTACAGAAGCAAGACATGTAGTCTATTGTATTTAAAGGTATTTTATACACTGTAAAACTAGACATGAAAATGGTGTTTTGAACCAGTTTATACTGTGAAATGGACAAAGAAAATGTAATGTATTTACAGAAACTGTTTATTGGTATAAACTTAAATATGTGTTGAATTGGAAAGAGAAGATGAGAGAAAATATATGTTATTGAGACTGAAGTAGTGATTTAAGCAGGATAAAGGCTGAATTGGGAGAATGTGAAATTGAACTACATAAAACTGAGATGAGGTAAAAAGATATGCATTGTGCTTATGTGACTGTTATGATACTAGATGTTAAATAAATCATACTCAAAGGCATTCTGGAAAGGAAACAAGACGAACTGTGTCCTCATTCCTCTGCTTTACCTCCTTTTACAGGTTACATATTACAGGTCTCCCATCCCTGGGACCCGTAACACTACTGTGCATAATATTACTAAAATAAACTATTTCTGCATGAAACGTGGATAGATTCTGTTATCTGGTGACATTTAGTCTATAACAGCGTAATCTGGTGTAGGAGTAACATAACTGGAAGAAAGTTAAATCACGTGTATGTGTGTGTTGGTGCTAGCTAGCTAGCTCCGTTTCACGAAGCTTGTCACTTGTTTTTCTCTTGCTAGTAACTGTGAGGCCTGTGTACCAAGTACTGAAGTGGGTGAAGGTGAAACAGGATGCTACAACAGGTAAGGCTTTTAAACAGCACACCATTTTTGATAGCATCATGTGTTTTTCTGAGATTCATTGTCGGACAGAAAGTTAGATACATATTTGCTAGCCTGACTTGAGGTCTCATCTCGACTCGTGGAACCATAATAAATCCCAATTGCAAAGTCTGACGGGTTATTTATTCCATCATTTGGCTAATTTCTTTCAGGCTAAGTTTTTTTTTTTAAGTTTTACATACAGTATGTGTTAAACCATCCATTGCAACAGCTGCTGGAAATATTAGTTATGTTTATAGTAGTAGTATTTGAGGGCTGACCTAACGGGTTATCTAATGTTATGTCAGTATTATATTAAGGAGAGTCCATTCTGGGATCAAAGAAATGGCGGAGTTGTCCTTCAACTTTAACCAAATTTTTATCCTTGGCTGGGGGTAATGTATGATGTTCTTTTGCATAATGTTTTGTCAGGATAAATCCAGAGCAGAATGCTTTGAAGGTCAGTGTGCAGAAGGACTGGCAAGATGTTCCAATGAAATAAGAAAAACCGACCAGCCAGGTGAGACTTAATTTAATTCATTTTTAAGGGTAGGCAAGTGGTAGTTATGGTTAAGGTTAGGGTATGTCTCCAGGAAATGAATGTAAGTCACTGTACTGTCCTCTGAAGCCATGGAGACACAACTGTGTTTATGTGTGTGTATTACATACCGTTGCATTTAAATAAATTTCTACATCAGTAACTAATTCCTTCTTATTCGTCCATTACAGGGAAGAAGATTTTATTGCTTTAAAGTTTTCAGTTTTTAGTTCATATTTCTTTCATATCACTTTTAACTGAACACACAACATAACACTCACTTCCACTGCTTTGAACTTACTGTTTTGTTTGTAAAAATTAATTGAAAATATCTTGGACAGTTTTCTACACTGTGATGTTTTTGTGTGTTTTTTCACACTCAATCAATGTTACTAGGAGACATGTGACTGTTTTATATTTGTCTCTTGAAGTACAGTCAAAATAACTAAGACCCAGACATTATGTCAATCATTTTTGAAACTCTAAATATGCTTGAAAGTGACTAAATAATTCCAGGTCATGCAGTTTACATTGGCAGTTTAACTTGAACAAAGAAGAAGGATAACTATGTTCAAGAAAGTATTGTTGTTTACAAAAAAATGTTTATAAAATGAATAACGCAAAATAAGATCTGTTTAGTGCCTATGTATTATGAAATTTAAAACATTGAAAGTTGAATGAAGTGATACAATAAATTAAGTTTTTGTGATGAAAACAATGTCTTCATTTTAAAGTATGTAATTATTTAGTTATTAATTTACAGTATTAAAATGAATGCAAAAACGCCTGTTACAGTAGTCTAATATTTACTGTGATAAACAATACAGCACCCTATTACTGTGAAGATAATTGCAGTGCTGTAATTATTACTGTAATAAAAATTACAGTATTTTATAGGTACTGTGGTTAAATATAAAGTAATGTGGAATCTATTACATCTACTTGCTAATTGCTGCCAGCTAGTCGCAGTACATTTTACAGTGTTCTTCTTAGAGTGAATGACAGTGTTCACAACTATCTCAATCCTCTGACAGAAATTCACTAAACACACACCTCCAGCTGACCCAAATGATTATGCTGTTACAGCATGGGAAGCTCATCTGAGAAACAGCTTACTGAATGGACTGAAACCAGACATTTCCAGCATGGTGAAACATACATGCATCACTTGGGACTCAGACAAGTCAAACCTCATCAAGGCACACACTGTATGCTGCAAACATCTTCAGAGAGGGTCAGAAGAGGAAAGGCAAGAAAAGAGAAAAAGATCTGCAAATGGCTACATTGACTTTGCTCCAAGCACATGCCAGAAGGCGCAGACATGGCCATGGCAGAGGCGGATTCAGAGGTGGCCATGGGGGCCTATGCACAACTGTTCCAGATGTTTGTGGCAAAAGAGAACATTGGGCCAGAAACTGCCCAAAGAAAAATCCAATGCACAAGGATGATTGACTTAGGGCGGCAGCTCAGGAGTGATAGAAAAATGTGGTCAGGTTGGGTCCAGATATTTCAAAAAGTGACCCTACCAATCTTGCCATTTATGTTGACCTTCTGAACTTTTTCCAATCCTGGGTTCTCCAGGTGATTAACCAAAACAAGTTTTGTTTTTTTTTTCTTTCGAAAAAATTTATTAACACTCATTTCCTTCATATTTCAAACACATTTCAAATGTAAACAGATAAATTACTGTAATCAGTAAAACCATTTTAAAACAATAAGAACAATTGTTTTAAAAGGCTTTACAGATAAAAATTAAAGTTGACAATCCAGGTTAAAAAAAAAAAGGTACGTATCTCTTACTGATGTTAATAACAAAGAGTGTCCATGTTAAAAGTCTTTAAAAGGGAGTGCATTAGTTAAAATAATGTCTTTCAAGTCAATTTTTTTGTGCAGCAGCAGGTTGAGTCCCAACAAATGGCTGCTCATTCCGCTCCCCCAAACACTATTTCTCTCGGGATCCTGTTGTGATGCTAAGAGGAGATCCTCGCCCTATTGCTCCTTCCCTCCTGCCACACCCGGACAGCCAGGCCGCCACTGCTTTGACATTTTTGTGTGTGGCTCCGGCTCCTTCATCCGAATGGGCACAGAGGCGATGCTTTTTTGTGGTTGTGTCGTAGGCCTGCCGCCAGAAGCCATCAAGATCACAGCCACAGGGGGATTCTGCATGTGCTTTCTTACCAGTTTCCGGAGGTTCACATGGCGTCTTTTATGGCAGCTAGGGTGAGCCACATCTCGGTGAAGTTTTTCATTGTTTTCGGGCTTACCCCATACAGCACCAGTTGTGGTGTAAGGACCTCCCTTGCTGGCATGTACAGGAATTGCAAAGAGCCGGCCGTTGCCCACTGGTTGACGGCAGCACTGCACTCCCAGAGCAAATGCCTCACCGACTCTGGCGCACCATAACCAGGTCGGGGGCAGGTTGAGTGTGCTGACATGCCCCGGGAGTGCATGACGAACCTGACTGGGAGAATTTCATCAACTACCATCCATGACAGGTCCCGGAGTCTGTTTGGCAGAGCGGGGTGGTTCACGTTCCGCCAAAAAGTTGAGGGCTCGCCGAATGCGAGCCTGCACACTGGACTCACTGGTTCCTGCTCCTGCACAACAGACATCAGAGAACGATGTTTGTTTAAAACATGCTACTCCTGCTCCAGGTTAAAATGCTTTAAAAATGTCGGGATAAAAGCATAAGCTGGTGGCAAGCTACAAGACACAGGTACTTTAAGATCTGTAGGTAAAAACTTAATTTGTCTGAGGTAAGAACCCGTCCAGAATCGTGTCATCGCTGTGGTCTTGGGGTTTCCGGATGGGTCTGTAGATTGTAAAGTTCAGTGCAGTATATTGGCCTCCTAAAAACAAGTACAAGTCGGGTACGCCTTTTTCTCCTTTCCCTTTTGCTCTTTCCATTACATCTCTCCTCAGTCTTTCCCACTTGGAGCCCCACAGTAAGTAAAAGATGGCTCGTTCCAAATCTAAAAGCACTCTCCTAGGTGGGATAAAAACAGAACTGGTGAGTAAAAGCAAAGGTAAAATCACTGCTTTAATGATTAAAACCTTTCCTTTGATTGTCAGTCCTCTAAGTCCCCAGTATCCTAATCTCTGCTTTACTTTCCCTACCAAGTCTGGCCAATTTGTTGTCCCTCCTCCCTCCCTATCACATTTGATCCCCAGTATTTTCTAGTCAGTCTGGGTCATAGTAAAAGGGGGTCCTGTCATCTCAGTCGCCGTCCATGGTCCATAAAACTGGGCTTGGGTCTTGCTCCTGTTCAGTTTTGACCCAGAAGCCCGCCCAAATCAGTCAGTCAAGTCCAGCGTTCTGTTGACAGATAAAAGGTCAGTGCATAAAATGTTCACGTCGTACATACAGTATATAAAATACATTTAGCATTGAGTCCCCCACTCCCAGGGACTCCCACCCCATGGATTCGTTGGTCCCTTCTCAAAATCTGTGCCATTGGTTCTATACATGTTATGTAGATGAAGGCAGATAACGGGCAACCCTGACGGACACCGCAGTTGATAACGACTGCTTTTGTCAAATGCCCGTTACTCACAAATTTGCTGGTAATGCCCCGATACAGCAATCCTACCCAAGCTGTAGACCTTTCTGGGAACCCCATTTTTTGCAGTCCCTGAAAAAGGTACTGGTGTGAGACCCAATCAAAAGCTTTCTCAAAGTCTAAATTTAGGATTACTGGCCGGATGTTTCTGTCTCTCGCATAACAGATGGTGTCTCGGATCAGTATGAGGCTGTTGGTGATCTTCCTCTCGGGGATGGCACAGCTTTGATCTGTGTGAATCAGCTCTTTTAGAAACGGACATGCGTGATGCTAAGTTTGCTAAAAAGTTTACAGTCAAAGTTTAAAAGTGTGATAGGTCTCCAGTTCATCAGGTCAGTCTTGTCTTTGTTTTTATGAAGAAGAGTCACTAACCCTACTCTAAAGCTTTCAGGAAGTCGGTCTAGTCTTTCAAAATCCATAACAACATTGAGTAAGTCAGGTGCTAAAATGTCCCAAAATGTCAAATAAAATGGGAAAGGGAAAAGGGAAGTCTGTCTTGTCCTGGGGACATTCTAATACATTTATTTAGCTCTAAAAAAAGTCTGGGTCTTTCCCTTCACCATCTCCCACCAGTGTGCCTGTGTATCATACAAGTCCAAGTCTTGAAGGGTCTGCCACTCTTGATACTGCTCCCTGTATTGACTGACTAAGTCCTGATCTTCTAACAAGGAGCAGTTGAGTTACCACAGACCACTTCCTGATGTCACACCTGAAGAGAGTGAAAGGGTGCAGGAGAGCATCTGGTGATCAGAGAAGAAAACGGGTCAATCTAGCATCAGTTGGTGGGCAGTCCCATGTAAAAACATAATCTATGCGAGAGGCTCTGGTGCCATCACTACTGAACCTGGTGAAGCCCTCCTCTCTGGGATGCGTGGTTTTAAAATAGTCCTGAAGTTTAAAATCCCTGCATATGCCCTGCAATAACTTTAAAATCTCCCCCTGCTCTTTTCCTATCTTTTCTACTTAAAATGCAGTTAAAATCACCCCCTAAAACCAATGGTGCTTTCCCTAGCATTTGGGACTGCAAGTCCTCTAAAAGGTCATACCTGTCATTCTTTTGGTTAAAGCCATAAATATTAAAAAGGTTAAAATCCTGTCCCATAAAAGTCAAGTGTGCTAAAAGTGCACGACCATCTCTCACCACAGTGCTGCCCTTCACCAGAACCTGAGGATTTTTGATTAAAATGGCCACTCCATCATTCTTGTTGTGATTTGATCGGCTCCAAATGGATGTTTGTGGCCACCTCTCCCACTGTCTGTATTGCTTTAAAAATGGTTTGCCACATTCCTGTATTAAAAACACATCTGACTGAACAGAACCAAGAAAGGATAAAACACTTTGGGCTCTAACTCTCGCCTTCACACTTCTCACATTGATGCTTGAGAAGGTGAGTGTCATGAGTATGGTTAAAAGCAACAGGTATGAAATTTTAAAAGACTAAAAAGGGATGTAAAACATTAAAATATTGAAAAGAGGTAGCTAGGATACTTCTTGTGAATGGAGCTCTTCCTTTACTCCTACAGGTGGAGGAGGAGGGGGTGGAGCTCCATCCCCTGTTCGAACTCCGGGGGTTGGCCTCGGAACCAAGGTTGCATTCATCTTTGAGTTCTTTGGGGTTGATTGCAGAGCTACGGTTAGAAATGAGACCTCATTGGGTGAATTGGAGGGGAAGACTCTGGGCCTCTCCACATATGAACTGTCTGAGAGAGTTCCAACTCTTCCCCTCTTCTCTGAGACTACAGGAGACTCAGAGGACAATTCTGATGCCGGCCTCTTTGTTTGCTGGGCATCGGGGAGGGGGGCATCCTCGCTGTCATCTTGTGATTGGTCTTCATCACTTACTGTACCAGCTCCACCCTCTTCCTGCATCACCCCATCTTCCTCACCACTTTCCATTGATGTGGCTGTTGCAGGGCCCTCCTCCTCTCCTGCCTCTCCTGATCCTTCTTCTCCAATCACAGGATTTGACGGGAGATTTGAATTTTCCTGCCCAGCCTCTTCAA